CATATTTTTCAATTAAAGACAACTTATAGATTTAATATGGGCTGCTTTTGGTGCTTGACAATTTTTATTGGTCATTTTGTGTTTCAAGAATAAGGTCCAAAGTTAAGAATAAGCTATTTAAATGTAAAATGTTTTTCTCTACAACTTTACAATAGACTTGCCTTATTGATAACGTCTCGGATTGATTGTATGTTTTCTTGCGCGGCTGGATGTTGGACTCTATTAAAAATAATAACATGCACTTCAGAAGCAATACCAAAACCACAACAAGAATTCAGATTACACATTTGTAAGAAAGAAAAAAAAAAAACGTGATTCACAATTTATAAGGTCTCTTTTAGTCCCGTATGCACATTTGATATGAATCGGTAACACGGTCACAAAGGTACGCGTACTTTAACGTTGGGGCCCAGTTCGTTGGTGCCCATGCACAGCTGACGAGTTCAGAATAATCGCTCACAGTCAATAAGTCTCAAAAAGGAATTCACTTACGTCCATTCGACTATGAGGCAATGTTGAAATCACTCACGGCTCAAACTCAGTTTCCAATCTTGAACGGTCCCTGGCACACGACGAGTCAAGTCCCCTCATGAAACAGGGTGCATCCCGTCCAGAACGGATTCAGCACAAGTCCACCACGAACTGCTTCGATGCAGTCACTCTTCACGAAGGTGAATATCTCTAGCCGCGAGGCCGAATGTCTCAGGCGTCGGTAGGATTGCCAACTTCAGAAAATGAAAATACGGGACAATCGCATATATATATATATATATATATATATATATATATAAATGCGTATTTTTCAATTAAAGATGACTTATAGATTTACTATGGGCTGCTTTTGGTGCTTGACACATTTTATTGGTCATTTTGTGTTTCAAGAATAAGGTCCAAAGTTAAGAATAAGCTATTTAAATGTAAAATGTTTTTCTCTACAACTTTACAATAGACTTGCCTTATTGATAACGTCTCGGATTGATTGTATGTTTTCTTGCGCGGCTGGATGTTGGACTCTATTAAAAATAATAACATGGTTTGTATTTGCCAAAACTGATTTACTGAAGTCAAAACACGGACGGAATTGGCGTTAGCGTGAGCACCGTTTGCTGTGAGGCGAGAGGATTCCTCGAACAGTTATGCTAACGATTTCTGATTTACTTAAAGGGGTCATATGATGTTGCTAAAAAGAACATTATTTTGTGTATTTGGTGTAATGAAATGTGTTTATGCGGTTTAAGGTTCAAAAAACACATTATTTTCCACATACTGTACATTATTGTTTCTCCACTATGCCCCGCCTTTCTGAAACGCGTCGATTTTTACAAAGCTCATCGGTCTGAAAAGTGAGGTGTGCTCTGATTGGCCAGCTATCCAGTGCATTGTGATTGGCCGAATACCTCAAGCATTCAGCTCATAGGTTTTGTGGAGGTCCGGATCAATCTAACACAAGAGATGCTGTCTCAATTCATCTTCACATTAATGCCATCATTTTCATCATTCAGACGCCCATGAAACAGAGGCAGGATTTATCGCACAAACCAATCATATCCAATCAGAACCGATCATATCCAATCATAGCGTGATGGCGGCATGTCTAAGCCCACTGCACACTTTAGGGTCTATGTTAAAAGTCAATGGGCTCAGGGGAGACAAGCCTCCGCCATAACTTTACCTGCTGGTGTCGCTGTTGGACAGTGGTACTTGATTAAAACATGTAGAAGTCACTCATTGTTATGTCATATTTTGTAATATTTGCATTGTTTTATTTTTACAATATTGACAATTTTCTCATCCAGTTTTTGTTGAGGAGGCACTGCCTCCCTGCCTACTCGGAGGAAACGCCCGATTACCAGGTAATTCTTGCCTACTCTTTTATGAATACTAAGGAATCGGACATACTTATTTGTTCGCATACTATTTATCATATGATGTTGCTAAAAAGAACATTATTTTGTGTATTTGGTGTAATGAAATGTGTTTATGCGGTTTAAGGTTCAAAAAACACATTATTTTCCACATACTGTACATTATTGTTTCTCCACTATGCCCCGCCTTTCTGAAACGCGTCGATTTTTACAAAGCTCATCGGTCTGAAAAGTGAGGTGTGCTCTGATTGGCCAGCTATCCAGTGCATTGTGATTGGCCGAATACCTCAAGCATTCAGCTCATAGGTTTTGTGGAGGTCCGGATCAATCTAACACAAGAGATGCTGTCTCAATTCATCTTCACATTAATGCCATCATTTTCATCATTCAGACGCCCATGAAACAGAGGCAGGATTTATCGCACAAACCAATCATATCCAATCAGAACCGATCATATCCAATCATAGCGTGATGGCGGCATGTCTAAGCCCACTGCACACTTTAGGGTCTATGTTAAAAGTCAATGGGCTCAGGGGAGACAAGCCTCCGCCATAACTTTACCTGCTGGTGTCGCTGTTGGACAGTGGTACTTGATTAAAACATGTAGAAGTCACTCATTGTTATGTCATATTTTGTAATATTTGCATTGTTTTATTTTTACAATATTGACAATTTTCTCATCCAGTTTTTGTTGAGGAGGCACTGCCTCCCTTGCCTACTCGGAGGAAACGCCCGATTACCAGGTAATTCTTGCCTACTCTTTTATGAATACTAAGGAATCGGTCATACTTATTTGTTCGCATACTATTTAGTTGGAAGTATGCGGTTTCGAATCAAAACGGCTTGTTCTATGAAACTGATGAGGTTTAATGAGGGTTAAAAAAGTTTTTTATCATTAAAGGGTGGTTGCGTACACACACTGCTGATACACATTTATGTCCAAACACCATGTAAAAGGGAATTATGGATAATAGGTTCTCTTTAGACCTACCCATGCCACTAAACCCTACTTAAACTTATCTGTATTCCACCACAATAGTAGCACAAATGTTTTGTAACACAAAATGGACACACTAACTACTATGTACTTGCATCCAAAAAAATTAATAACACCTACTTGTAGTTAATGCAGTTTACATGTCCCACCAGAGACAGTAATATACTGGACCATTCTTACACCACAATAAAGGATGCATATCACTCCATTCCACGGGCAGCTTTAGGACTCTCTGACAACTGTTTGGTTCATCTTATACCGACCTACAGGCAGAAACTGAAAGCAGCTAAACCTGTATTAAGGACTGAAAAAAGATGGTATAATGAAGCAGAGCGGGATTTACAAGACTGCTTCGAGCTCACAGAGACTGTAACATCCTATATCAGTTTCTGTGAAGATATGTGCATTCCTACCAGGACTGTCTGGTTCAGCTCAGCTACCAAATCTGACCTCAGAAGACTACAGAGGGTAGTCCGGACTGCTGAGCGAATCATTGGTACAACCCTCCCTTCACTTCAAGAACTGTACTCATCCAGAGTGAGCAAAAGGGCTGGCAGAATCACTCTGGACCCCTCACATCCAGCACACTCCCTCTTTGAACTGTTGCCATCTGGTCGACGCTACAGAGCACTGAGCACCAGAACGGCCAGACACAGGAACAGTTTCTTCCCTCAGGCCATCCATCTCATGAACACTTGACGATAATTGTGGAGCACACAACACTATTTATAAACATACACATTTATTTATCTAACACACATACTGTCTACATTTCTACTAGTCTACATTTGAAATCGAATTTGCACATAATATACCTGTAGATACAAAATTGTCTATTGTAATATACCTGTACATACTAATTGTCAATTTGTATATTGTTATTCCCTATTTACTTGTTCTATTTTTATTCTTTTATTATCTGGGTTTTGTCCTGTCACTGTCATTCTGTTGCACTGCGGAGCTTCTGTCACGAAAACAAATTCCTCGTATTCTGATTCTGGTTTTACTGTAAAGTGTGGTCCTACTTTCTAAAAACACCACAAAACTGCAGCATGTTTGCAAACACGTCAAACAGCACTCTGTGAATCACACATAGTATCATTACCACCAAATTGGTATCTGCAAGATCAGTAATACACACAGTGCAGAACATTTTATTTACTAAACTGTTCACACAGCTACAAAAATTATATTGTATTTTTATAGCTGTATGAACAGTTTAATAAATTAAATTTTCTGCACTGTGTATTTTCTAACAGCTGATGTGAATTCCCAGAGCAAACAAACTTGAGCATAAAGTGGAGAAAGAAGAAGAAAGAGAAGAGGTGGTGGAGCAGGAAGAAGGTGTGAAATGAGAGGAGGATGCATGGTGCGGGAAGAAGAGAAAGAGTGTAAGATGTAGAAGAGATGGTCGATGGAGGGAACTGAGACAGTCAAAAGAGCAAGAGCAGAAAATGTAAGACGACATGATCCGAGACTCAAGAGTGTGAGTCCCTCAATCATTCACATTATTTACTGCCAATATTGCCTGAAGATGCTGAAATATTAGCCAGAGACATGTCTCAGATACAATGCTATATTCTTCTTTTTTATTTTGAAGCATCAGTTGAAGAGTTGGACAGTGTGTGATGGTCGTGTTTGTGCTTCTCCATGATGAGGCTCCTTCCAGTCAGTATGAGGACCTGCCATTTGAGTGATTAATATTCATGTTACCGAGGCTGATGGTTCAGCATTTCATTATATGAGATCAGAAGAGGTAATGTTTGATCGCACAGAAATGCTAAGGTGTTATCCGAATAACTGAGTAAAATGTAAAACTTACCATCACTTGACGTGGTACTGGGAACTTCTCTATCAGAATAAAAAGAGTGATTAATTGAAAAGTGCTATGATATTTATAGTTCTATAACTGGACTAGATTTATATCATTGGCTTGCTCTCACCTCTACAGTCTTGATGTTTTTATCTTGAAGTAAATGTATCCAGTAGCGGCTATGATGATTCCCAGCAGCAGTGCAGCAGATTCAATAGTGAATAATAGTTGAATATCCCACTCAAACTCAGGGGTCGGTGGGGCTGTGAAGGACAAACATCGCTCTATTAACACAATGCACCACTAGCCGTGGATTATCCCGCTTATACCATGGTCATCTACTAGCACTGACAGCTTAAAGCTGTTACTGATGTTTACAGTGCAATATTTGACTGGAAGGGTAAAAGTGGATATTTTTGTCAGTTTCAGCTCATTATATGTAGCTTTCTGCCTGCTTTAAATCAGAACTTGAGAGAAAGTAGTGCATAAAATTACATTATTTGAATAAAAGAATTCAAGTCACAGGGCAGCAATGAAAAGTTTCTGTGCTCCTTAATGTTTCTGTGTGTGCGGCGTGATCTCTGATCTCTCTCTGTGTGTGTGTACGTGCTTCGATAAACCGCACATTAATATAAAACGGTGGTTAAACAGACTTAAACAGTTTTATTGCACACCTTCCAGCTAGTTTGACCACCTGGCTATTGCTCTGTTGCAGGACAGCAGACGTGATTTTGCGAGACAATGCGGGACACGAGGGAGAGATAACTTATTACTATTATTCAATGTAAATTAACGATGATCTTATATTACATGTCTTTTTGCAGTGATGTTAACATTCGTTAAATCGCTAATCGACTTTATGAAAACATAATGACGGCGCTGTGAACAGACGTCGTGAATGTACGTCACTCAGTTTGTCAGTTTCTATGGTACAAAACTAATTTTAACAGCACAGACCTTTTCAATCTAAATATAAAGAGAAACTAATAATCTAATCCTTAAAAAGCACATTTCCAAATAAACACATAAATTCCGTTAAAAAGACAAAATTATTAAATGCATTCTTACCGAATGAATTCTCATTCATTATGTGTGTCTGTGCATTTGGGTTTTTTTCTGTTTTCCCGCTCTGGCTAGATCATGCACGCAGACGGCTGCGCTGTGCAACTTCTGACGAAGCGCCGTTAAATATAGGTGAAACTACGCCGCAAAAAGAATAAATAAAAAGCTTTCTTAAAAAGGCAAAAGAACCCATGCACGTTTTCTTAAAATGACAATTAAAAACCAACAGACTCATGAAAATGCGGGACATTTTCTCAATATGCACGGTACAATGTAAAGCAGGACGTGTGGTCACCCTACTTCCAGCCAATCAGAATCAAGTATTCAGACCACGGTGTAACTGTAAAATATAGAAGGTAGAAGTGTGACAACTGGACAGTTTACGTATCTCCTCTTGTTGTGTAACTGATGCTATATTAGTGTAAAGGCAGGTGTTGTGTCTTACTCCAGTCGTAGATCATGGGTCTGGTGAAGCTGGCGTGCTCCACCACGCAGGAGATCTTCTCTGCAGATTTGGGAGTGTATTCTAGCACGGTGTGAATCTGGTAGTACCAGTCTCCATTGGGCAGCTCCTCAGTGGAGGTCACGTCAGAAGTCACTGGCACCCCGTCCTTCAGCCAGTACACTTTGATTGGTTGAGGGTAGAAGTCATACGCGCTGCACTTCACCAGAGCTGGATGTGTGCTGTCTCCAGGCATCACTGAACTGAGCTTCACTGCCGGCCGCTCTGAAACAACCACATCCCAAATCACTTCCTACTCTATGTATTGTCATCACATGACAGACTATATAAATGTGCATTATCAAAGAAGAGTTTTTACCTTTTTTCCTATGGATAGCTGCTTCATAAGCTTCAGCATTAGGCTTGCAGTATGTGTCAACCTTAGCCCTGGTTTGCTGTAAGAATGCTGTATCGTTGTTCCACATTTCTGCGGTTTTTATTCCGAGATCCGAAAACCCCTCAAACATCCCTACCGTGCTGTTGAACTTAATGACTGGATATTTATTGAAGTAAAGGCCTTCAATGAACTCCATGTCACTGAGATCAGGAGAGCTGTAGATGCACTGCGTCCATGTGTGGAAATAATATCCATTCGCTGAAAAATAACATCTGTGTGAGCTTATTTCAACAATAAAAAACAGAAGCACAGAGCACATCTATTTCATCACCTCATATGTGACCCTGCAGCACAAAAGCAGTCTTAAGTCGCTGGGGTATATTTGTAGGAATAGCAAACAATACATTGTATGGGTCAAAATGATAGATCTTTCTTTTAAGCCAAAAATCATTAGGATATTAAGTAAAGATGTTCCATGAAGATATTTTGTAAATTTCCTACTGTAAATATATCAAAACTTAATTTTTGATTAGTAAAATGCATTGCTAAGAACATCATTTGGACAACTTTAAAGGCGATTTTCTCAATGTTTAGATTTTTTTCCACCCTCAGATTCCAGATTTTGCCAAATATTGTCCCATCCTAACAAACCACACATCAATGGAAAGCTTATTTATTCAGCTTTCAGATGATGCACACATCTCAATTTTGAAAAATTGACCCCTTATGGCTGGTTTTGTTGTCCAGGGTCACATATTCATATTGTTAAAGTATCTATATAGACAGTACCTACTTTACTATGTTAGATGGCCCACTACCAGAGAACCATCATAACTAACAGTGTTTAAGAAAATTTCTCTCACCTGCTCCAGTGAATACAGACAGCGTTAGAATGTGTTGAAAATTCAAGAGCTTTAACAGTGTCATTTTCCCTCTCTCTCACTCTCTCTCATTCACAACTGAGAGCAGCAGATACACTGTTCATGCTAGTGAGGTCAGAGTCTAAAACGGCCGTCCAATCAGCCGCTCCTTCACACATGTGTCAAGTGTTGCTACACAATATCCTGCTTACTTTTAAAATCACAGCTCAGATAAAGGCTAGATTCCAGTGACACATTAAACACAATGACCCTTCAAATTACATTCCTAGAGAACACAAACTATTAACAGCGTTCTCAATTATTTATCGTACATCCAGCAATGTAACATGCCTACAGTTAACCCTAACCCTTACTTGTTCAGTCAATGTAATACACATCCACTGAGGCGAGCTTGAAGAACCCATGTGCAGCTTTATTAAACAAAAACCTGAACACATACAAAACCATAACAAAGACTAGACCTGGGGGGGAGTTAGTAAGTGTCCATGAAAACCCAGGGTAACTATGGAAACAAACAAGTGTAACAATTACAAAATATAAGACATGATTGTACAAACATGAAACAAATCCCAAAACCAACTGTGACAATCAGAAAGGACTGTAATGTCTAATCATCCTGATTATTTATCAGAAATAACTGACAAACTTACCACAAGCAGACCAAATTTATTTTGCTTTATTTTATATTTACATCCTGTTGAAAAAACCAGCATATGCTGGTTAGGTATGTTTTGATGCTGGGATGCTGGTTTATGCTGGTCCTTTGCTGGTTT